GACCAGGGTTCAATCCCCAGCCCGGGATAAACTGGCTATGGTGCACATGTCTACAACCCCAGCATTCAGGATGTGCAGACAGGAAGATGGGATGTTTAAGGTCATCCTCAGCTACAGAGGGAGTCCAGCCTGGGCTACATGAGATCCTGTTTCAAACAAACAAAAAAAAAAGGTAAAAAAAATGTCTTTCTGTCATATACAATTCAACTCAATTTTAAACATTTTTAAACACTATGAATAAAAATAAAAACATATGCCATGGGCAGGGCTCATGAAAAAGTGGAGGTCCACACAGACCAGCGGCGTGTGGTGGAGGATAGCATGTGGACCTCAAGCCTCCAGCTCTGGGCTGTCTGGATTCTCCTGAGGGTAAATACAGTGCTGCCCCCATCAGAGAGAACTGTGGAGTGACCCCCCTTCAAGAGAGCTGGCACCCCACCTGTGAAGCTGGCGCCCTCACCCCAGATCTCCCTGACATTTACCACGCCTTCATTCCACAAGAGAGCTTTGCCCTTCTTTGGAATGTTCTAGAGACTACATGGCTAGACCAATAAAATGTCCTCCAGGATTGGTTTGCCTGGAGGAGGGAGAAAGCCAACTTTCCTTCCAAGGCCCACTTGCCCTTCCTCTGGAATTTGGACGTCAGAGATCTAAAAATAGGCGTCTCCCTGGCCCGCAGTGCTGGGGTTCAGCGTGAGGATGCACCAGACCTCCACACGGCAGCCCATGGGGACAGCACTCAGGAGAGGCTTGGAGCTCAGAAGAGCAGAAACTTCAGGTCGTGCAGTGTTGCCATCAACTGCACATAGGAAGCCCCTCTAGAACTTCCCGTGCTTTCCTCTATGCTGGGTGACGCAGACATCCTCTGCCTGTCCCTATGCTCTCAGTCAGATCTGAATCTGGGCTGAACCCAAAGATACAGCCCCTGTTTTCTTCACTTGGCCCAGTTCCAGGCATGGGCAGACCCTGCCCACGCCTGACACTACGCAAGAGAGACCCACCCCCCAGGGTAAGCCCTCTGCTCCTTTTGTCTTCTATGAAAGCAGCTGGTGAGAAAATAAACAAATCTTCCTGATAAGAACAACAAGACCAAAGAACACAAAGAGATCACGAAAGCAAGCGTGGGATGTGGGTCTCCAGGAGAGAGGAGAGGCCCAGATGACGCATGTAGGGGAGGTTCGGAGGTGATCTGGCCATCACTCACAGCTATTGTGGGCCCCACCCAGAATATCTACATAATATCTAAACATTCATTCAAACACACGTACATATGCATGTGTGTGTGCTTGCATGGGCACACATACACACTCATACACACACACACATGCACACACATACCCACACCCACATACACACACACATACATACACATACACACACAGATACACAGATACACAGATACACAGATACACACATACACACATACACACATACACACATACACACACACACACACATACACACACACAGAGTGATGTCAGGCATAAAGCAAAGGTCTTTTTCTTTTTTTCTTTTTATATGTGTATGGTGTTTTGCCTACACGTAAGGCTGTGAACCACAGTGTTGATGGTACCTGCAGAGATCAGAGGGTGTCAGGTCCCCTGGAACTGGAGTTTTGAACCCAGATCCTCTGGAAGATCAGCTAATGCTCTTAACCTCTGAGCCACCTCTCCAGCCTGCCTCTCTGTAGCCCAAGCTCTGGTTTTTTCTTGAACCACAAAGCACCTGCTGCTGTGTCTACACTGCCCAAGACGAAAGCTCAGACAGATGTCAACCCTGGGCTTTCTTCAGGATCTCACTTGGGAAGCCACAGTTAGTGTTCCTGCCGGACCCCTACTGGGAGTCGCTCAAGAAATGAACCCGCCTTGCTCTGGGAAAACTCCAGTCCCCGGATACAAGCCGCTCCGTTGAAGGATGTGCTCAGAGGTGGGATGAACCAGGGAAGGGGGGCAGGCAGCAGTGCCCAGCAGGTTCTAATCACCCTCTCACCTCTGTGGCCAGGGCTGTCCATCTTAGTGTGGCTGAGTCCAGGCCACCAGCACAAGGACAGGAGAAATAAACAGTATGGCCTCGTTACCCACCCCAAGTCCACAGATAAAAGCCTCAGGGGCAGTGATAAAACAGCTAACTCATCAAAATGACATGTCTGTGCTGAGCGCCCCCTCCCAGCTGGGAGCTAGCGGGCACTCTAGCCAAACACCTGAGCAGGCCAGTCGGCAGGAGGAGAGGTTTGTTTGAGCTCAGGGTTTCCGAGGGCTTCCTCTGGATGCTCGCTCACTGCTATTGCCCTGAAAAGCAGAATATCACGCGCAGGGTGGGGTGGGGGAGCGGAGCCAGGAAGTAGGGAGAAAGCGAGAGGAAGGGGGGGACAGATCCCTTCAAAAACATGCCCCCAGCAAGTTACTTCCTCCACCAGGCCCCGCCCCCTCATGCTCTCAAGGCAATCTGGTCCCACTCTGACTGTCCATTCAGATGTAAGCCCATTAGGGGACTAATGTATCCAGCCCCAGGACTATGACCTGTCAATCACCTCCCACAGGCCCCTCCTTTCAACACTACTGTGTTAGGGACCAGACCTTCATCAACACATGTATATTTACAGAATATTCCAGACCAGACTATAATGAAGCGTCCGTTGTCGACATACTGGATTTAACTTTTAACTGTGATTCTGTTCTCAATAAAAAGCGGTTCCCCTTAAGGTTAAGTCTAAAGACAGGGTCCCCAGCCCCGACCACCCCACAGCCATCAAGGACTCAGCACCAAGTTGTGTGAGGGGATGGAGGATGTGGCCACATCTTGCCTCTCAGTGCATGTGGGTTGCCATCTCTTCTGGTTATCCAGTTAAAGGTCCCTCTGAGGCTCAGAGAGGAGCAGCAAGTGGCCCAAGGCTGCACAGCTATTAAGAGGCAGATACACAAGGACCTGTAAACCTCTGAGTCACACACAGCCTGGCCTGCCCCAGGGTGGGGCATGTCCCCCAACACACACACTTTCTTTCCTCTGGCATGTAAGGCAATCTGAACACCGGGAAGGGGCCAATTCTACAGATAATGAAAAGCCCAGGGGTTGTGACCAATGGCAGCACAAGGTGCAAAGAACCCGGACCTGGGAAAACCAGAGAAGCCCTTTTCCTTGCAGCCTGCCCTTTCTGTCTGGCCTGCGGCGCCCCACTCCCCACTCCCTCATCTCTAGTTAGACTCTGGCCTCTGAGCTTCAGCCTTCGAGGGATGTCCTTTCTCTGGATTCTTAATCCTTCCTCAGCCTCCCTTCAGGACATCCACCTCTTCCAGGAAGCCTTTGGTGATTCCATGTCTCACGTGAACCATCACCTCTCTGACTCCTCCCCCTCCTGTGGCTTCCTGTCTCTTCCCTAGAGCATCCAGCCAGGGTGTTCATCTTGAACCCAAATCGGCCTCAGTACAGATTGGTTTCCCAGCTCCCTGCTTCCTGATCTGGCAAACTCATATTCACCCTTCAAAGCCCCAGGCCAAATGTTTCCAACCCTAGAAGGCCCTCCCTGCTGCTCACGTTTGTATTCCTGCGCGCATGAGAATATTCCAGGTGCTGACTCAGATGTCAGGAACCTGCCACCGTCTGCAGCAGCTGCAGCCCCAGGAACCAACGTTCCTCCCAGGAGGCATGCGTTGGCATTGAACTTGAAGCCTGTGAGACGCACTGGCCACACTCTGAGTGCTGAGCGCTTTCTGGGTCTGCCCAATTGTATACAATGTCACTGCAGGCATCCTGTCTCCCTGACCTGAGCCCCCTTGGAGGGTGCCCACCTTATACCCACCCCAGCATTTTCCTCGTTATCTGTCTCCCCACTGCTCAAAAGCTAACACGCCCTGGGCTTCCTTCATCTCATTCACATTCTGCTCCCCACGCTGCTGTGTAGACACCCCGGGAGGGGAACCGGCAGACAAGTCCCCCACCCAGGACAGTCTTGCCAAGCCATGGCCATCAAAACACCAACACTGGGGTCACTGGGGCTGGGGGAGATGTCTTAGTGGATTACGTGCCTGACGTGTGGATCTGAGGCTCAAGTTCCAGAACCCAGAATGAATGCAAACGCTGGCAGAGGTGCCAGCCACTTCCGGCCCACAGGCTCAGGAGGCAGGTGGGATGCCCAGGCCAAGCTGTCCAGCAAGACTAACTCACCCAGGGAACTCTGGATTCAGTGAGAGACCTTCCATCAGTAAAAGAAATCAGATGAATGAGGTAGATGGTCGATACCTATCGCCAGCGTCCACAGGCCCAGGCACACACGAGTATGTGTGCACATAAGCACTGTGCACACGTCTGTAAACACACACACACATGCGTGTCACACACCACAACAAAACCCCCACATATTCTCTGAGAGGAATGCATCACTCTGTCCTTTGCAGAGCAGACTGTCGGTGTCCAGAGAGGTCAAACAACTTCCTGAAGTCACACAGCCAAAGACAAGCCCGACTTAAGACTCAGCCGTAGTGTCCCACTGTGCCTGCCTCCCACTGACATTCTGCTCAGAACCTTCCTAGCTATCGATGTCATTTGTCCGCAGGCAGCCTGACTCACCCTTGAGGAGGAGAACAGGTCTCCTCATCCTGAACCTGCAGGTTGTCATAGAGATTTTAGCTCAGCATGCTTTCCACTAAGTGTCTCTTGCCTGAATAAGGCACCATGGCCAGGCATTGGACACTGGAGGGGACCCAACGCTCAGTTCTCCGTCCTCAGACCCTTTCATCAGACTCTGCTTTCCAGGAAGAAGGATGCTTCTCTTAAGCTTCAAAATCAAAATCTCCACATGGGGGTGGACCTATCTCCTGCCTCCTTGCTGGCAGGAACCTGTCCTCGGGTCCTCGGGGACAGGGGGCAGAGTCCTGTCTGTCCACTACCCACTACAGCTCCAATACAGGAGGTCCCCACCACGATAAGAAACCACAGCATCTGGGGACTATGTCCCCTGGGCCACCTCCCACCACAGAGGCCCCTCCACCCCTCCTGGCACTTACTCGGGACTTCTCGGCTAGCCTGGCCGGCAGCATTGCCTCCCAAGTGTCCTGTGCCAAGCTGGAGCCCAGAAGCAGCAGGAAACCCAGAGCCCAAAGGACCTTCCTGTCGCAGTTACCCATCCCGAGGCTGGTGGCAGGGTTTCCTTCTGCACGAGTGACCTCCGCAGGCTGGGGAGAGGAGGCAAGAGGGGTTAAAAGGGGAGGAGGGATGATAGCCTGGGTGGGGCCTGAGAAAGGAACAGAACTTTGCCTGCTGCGGGCTTGGTCCTCCACACAGGGTCCCCGGGATCTTGTGCCCTCAGTCAGCACCTGTGCCCTGGGTGCTGGTTGGTCCCCAGGTTATTTTTAGTCTACCCTGTAGCTCTAGTGACTAGGGTGGCTACAAGCTGGACAGCTCGGAACGCCGGGCAGAGGGAGGAGGGGGCACCAGCCAAGACGTGGCCGGGAGGGGCCTGCCACTCCCCTGTAACTATTGAGCTGCTGTGGTGGCCGCTTCAGCCTCAAGTTAGGATGGGCTGAGCTGCTCTCAGCGCTGCCTGTGACTGTCTGTCCCAGGAACTAGGTTTGGGGGTGCTGTAGGGAGGGGACAGGGGACCGCAGGAGTCTGTGGCCCTGGTGTGGGGAAGCAGATTCCCTCCCTCGTCTCTGGGTGCCGGCTTTGCTGTGACTCTGGGAGAGAGTAGCATTGCACAGGAAAGCATCCCCTGCACTGAGGGTCACTGCAGGAATCAAGCACCTCACCCGTCCCCAACAGGTTGTCCCCAACAACATGCAGAGGTGGATGCTGTCTGGACGCCCATTTTTCTCAGAGGAGGACACAGAGGTGGAAGGAGGTTCCACGCTTGCTTGGACATCAGACAACAGTGTGAAGTGGGGCTGTGATCTCAGGCCCAGAGGACCACCTGAGCCACTCCACTGGAGAAGGTGGGGTTGGCTTTCCCTGCAGCCCCAGTGGCTTTTGCAGGCAGACGTGTGTCTTGAGGCCTCCTGCATCAGTTCTGCCACCTGTGAGGGGACTCCAAGGCATACCCTCTGAAGCTGAGTGGCACGCTGGCAGGGTGACACGGACAGAACGGGCACTCACAAAGGTGGATCCATCCTCCTACCCGCCACGAGGAGCACCCAGGCCCTGGGACCCTGACAGCAGCTCCCAGCCTCCAGTCTCTTCTCCACATGTGCCTCCACTACATTCTTGGACAGCAGGCTCTTGGCCCAGTTCCTGGGTCTCTCCGTGGGTGGCCTGGCTTCTGCCTGAGCTGGGCTGATGGTCTGTGAAGCCCTCCTGACCTCCCTCTGCCTTCGCCGTGCCAGGTCTCCTAGTTCCCCACCAGGAAGGCTTTTCCTCCTGCCAGGCCCCTATCACGGCCTTGCATCTCTGCGGGGACTGCTTTCCCACTGTGGTTTCCAATAGAGGCTCTCATGCTGCCACCACTGGGCACATCTGCACTGATTGGAGCACTAAGCCCCACCCCCGCCCCATCCTCCACTCCCCCCACCTCCCCCGCATCCCCCACCCGTCTTCTGAACTAGATAGCCCACTCCACCTGGTGGGTTTCTCTTGTTCTTGTTGACCCCTACACACACCCCACCGCCGGAGTCACAGATACGTAAGGCTGTGCTCATGCGCAGTAGCTGAATACAGCTGACCCTCTTGAGCCTGATGGAGGTTCATCTGGGGTCCCCTTCCTATGTTTTGGTACCTGTGGTGTCTAACACATAGTCACAGGATCACTAAACATGTGTCATGTAGCAGCTCCAAATAAGGACTGTTTACGTGTAAAGCAGACACCATGTGCCAAACAAACACACACGTGTGTTTGTGGAGGTCAGAGGTCAACCTCCCTCACATTCTTCAGGCAGCAACCATTCACTTTGGTTTTCTCAGATACTTTCTCCCTGCCTGGGACTTCTCTAAGATGGCATAGCTGGCCAGCCAGTGAACATTCGGAACCTGTCTGTCTTGGCGTCCTCAGAGCTGGGGTTACAAACATACTCTCCCGCACCTGCCTTTTGGTGTGTGTCCAGGGAATCAGGCTCAGGTCTCTGTGCCTGCACAGGAAGTGTTTCACCAACCAAGTCCGTCACCTCAACTCCCACAACGACCCCAGAGAACTCTCAAAACTGGAGGTAGAAAGCAGGGGTTTGTCCTTGACATCTGACCGTGCATACATTGAAAAGTGCTTCTGGATCAAAAGGAACCATGAGGGTGTCTGACACACACACACAAACACACACAAACACACACCCCATCCCCCCCCACATACCCGCCATTTCCTTGTATGGTCACACGGCTACTAGGCCATTCGGTCATTGCTCTGTGACACCGGATGAACCTCTGACACTCGACTATACTATTTCACTGGGGACCCGCCCATGTGACTCCATCCTCCACCTCAGGCCCTGAGTTAGGAACTCTAAGACACTGAGTACATTCGGGAGTTTCTAATGACAAGCTCTGTGTGGATCCACCCAGCATTTGGAAATTAAAGGGGAGCAAAGCAAAGCCTTGGGATCCCTCTACCCACTGGCAACATCTGGAGTTGAGCCCTGGTGTCGTGAGGCAGCTGGCACGGGTCACCATAAGCTGCTTAACACGTGGCCATTTATCACACTGAGGAGAGAAGGCAGGGACCCCATGTGGGACCCAGGCTCACAAAGACCATGTCTGCATCTCCTCCAGCTGCTCCCAGCATCTGGCCTGTACCCAGTGAATATTTGCTGCCGGTGGGGCAATCCTCTTAACTGTCAAGATTCTTCCCGGTTCCTCAGATTTCATGAGGGATGGTCCCCCAAATAGGCCTGCAGTCTAAAGTCCCAAGGTGTGACTAAACTAACCTTCTCCCTCCTGGCTAACACTGAAGGTCCAGGCATACATTAGGTACTTGGATTGAGATACCAGGAGCCTCCCAAGTGTGGCACAGTCAACTCTTCACAGTGGTAAGTTACAAAAGGACCCTGCAGAGTCTTCAGGACAAGAAGGGCCGCTGCTCAGGGTACTGAGCCATACTGAGGACTTTGTGTGGAAGGAAAAAAAAAGCCCAAGAAGCAAATAGAACAAATTTTCCCCAGGGAGCCAGCACCTCTTTTGATCAGGGATTTGATGTAGCCTCAGAATGACACCACCGGATGCTGCCAGCAGAGGCCTAGTCCCACCATGAGGTCAGGTCCAGCCCCTTCCCAGCTTCCTGCCGAGACTCAGAACTTGAGGTCACTAATGAGAAATGTCCTACAGACAGATCTTATGAAGGCATTTTCTCAATTGAGGCTCCCTCCTCTCAGATAACTCTTGCTTGTATTAGATTGACATAAAACTAGCCAACACAGATATGAAGCCACTGTCACTCCTTTGGCCTCTCCTGCCTGACTCTGTTTCTATCTTAGAGGTGGACAGTGCATGAGGGAATAAGGTCTTCACATTTTAAACCTTGGCCCCAGCTCTTGTCTCCCTGTCTAGGCCTCTTGTATGTGTGTTGGTAGTGGTAGTAGGGTGTTAGGTCCCATCAGGAAGCATCCCTTGGGGGCTGAGCATGAAACTACAGTGCCCCCTGCTGGCAAGGGTTGAGATGGAAGATGGTTGTCACCCTTTGTCACCCAGTTACACAGATGATGGGGCCTCCAGAAGACTGCCTAGGGCAGCAAAAACACTCTTTGGACCAAACAAAACCAAACAAGCAAATGAGCAAACAGCTAAAATGGCCAGCACAGTCCCACTTTGCTCACAGGGTGGCTGTGAGTCCTGGTTGTGTTCATCTGTCACGTGAGACTCTGGTGCCCTGGATCTGTGTTTCCTGATGGTTTGCAGAACAGAAGTCCAGGAAGGCTGAGCTGAGCTAGAAGAGGCGGAGGCAGAAAGAAAAGAGATGTGGGGTTGCCTATCCACACTGAGGGTACTAGGGCGGGTCTCAGGGACCAGCCTGGGTCTCTTTCTCTACAGAGCTGGCTCGTGATGCCGCCTGCTGGTCCCAGGCAAGTATCCTTTGTTCCTTGGGAAAAGGATTCATTTATTGAAGAAAAAAAAAAAAGAACGCTGTTAACATTACAGAGCACAAAGTGGAGAACAAAGCAGGAACCAGGGTTCCCAGTCTAACCTTCAACTTTTCCCAGCTGGGCTCCACCTCCTAGATGCCTCTCAGCCTCCCAAAGTAGCACTAATAGGAGAGACCGATTTTCAAAGCACATGTGACTTTGGCAAGGAAGCAGCGTGTGAGCAGACTTGGAGATGCTCCGAGTGAGGACCACCACACTCCCCCTCCAAGGGCCCTCCATCTTGGGTCTCCTTGACAGACAAGATTCCAGGCCTGGCTCTGTCCTCTGACTCACTGCCTCCTCCTTTGGCTCTGGCCCATTCCCCCCACCCCCCAAAGGCCCTAGTATCTTCCTGGACCAGCTCCCCCTGCTTGCTCTAAGGTGTGAGCACTCCGCTGAGTGAATGCTCCAGCAAGAATGGCTGCCTCTGCTGGAAAGAAAGTTTCATGCCTGCCCTCTCATCATGGAGGCATTAGTGCAAATGCCACCCGAGATAGTGCAGCTCCTGTCACCCCTAATTCCAATTCTCCCCACCATACTCAGGGCTCCCATGTTCTCTCTGCTTTGCCTAAGTCCTGCCTACCTTGTACGGTAATGATTCTCTAAGACCTAAGGCAGGATATGGACCAGAGCAGATGTTCAAATATCAGATGATTGCGGTAGGGAGGAGGGAAAGATTAAAGGAAGGTTGATGGATGGATGACAACATCCATGGAAGAACAGAAGTATGAGGAGAGAGAAGAGAGACGGGGGTAGATGGTTGGATGGAAAGCTGGATGGTGGAAGCCTGTTCCTTTAGATAGAAGGAAAATAGAAGGTCTGGTGGGGACTAAGAGGTGACTGGGAGGATGAGTGTAGATAAGATGGGTAGATGTCAAGGCTGAAGGGAATGAGAGAAGGGGGATATGGAGGAAGTGATGGTTTGTATATGCTCCGCCCAGGGAGTGGCACTATTAGAAGGTGTGGCCTTGTTGGAGTGGGTGTGGCCTTGGGAGTGGGTGTGGTCCTGTTGGGGTGGGTGTGGCCTTGTTAGAGTGGGTGTGGCCTTGTTGGAGTGGGTATGTCACTGTGGGTATGGGCTATAAGACCATCCTAGCTGCCTGGAAGTCAGTATTCTGCTAGCAGCCTTCAGATGAAGATGTAGAACTCTCAGCTCCTCCTGCACCATGCCTGCCTGGATGCTGACATGCTCCCGCCTTGATGATAATGGACTGAACCTCTGAACCTGTAAGCCAGACCCAGTTAAATGTTATCCTTATAAG